GGCTGTCCAAACTCGGTCCTGGAGGGCCGGTGTCCTGCAGAGTTTAGCTCCAGCTTGCCTCAACACACCTGCTTGGAAGTTTCTAGTATGCCTAGTAAGACCTTGATTAGCTGCTTCAGGTGTGTTTGATTAGGGTTGGAGCTAAACTCTGCAGGACACCGGCCCTCCAGGACCGAGCTTGGGCACCCCTGGTTTAGCATATTGACCACCCAGACACATTAACATTGATTCAACTAGCGGTGTGTGTTTGAGGCAGGATTATCTGATTGTTCAACCTACTGTATTTGGAATAGAAATCTTTTGTAACATTACAAATGTTTTTACTGTCACTTTTGCGCTCTTACTGGAAAAAAAAGAAAAGAAAAAGTATATATATTTAAATACATCTGGGGGTCTATGAGACCATAAACATTAGTAATGTGAGATTTTTAATGGAAGGCGTTTGTTAGTAGTTTATAATCACTTCACATAGCAACAGCAATTTGTGAAGCATTAACCTTACTTTCCAGTGCTAAGTATATTTTTTGAGCTATTAAAAGGGTTGTGGCATCTCTGAGACCCCAAACATAACAGAACACAAAGTGACCTTCGACTGCAGTGGCTTGGTCCTCATGAGAGGAGGTGTGAATGGACCAGAGCGTGGTTTGCGTGAGTGTAGGTCAGCGATTGTGAATGCAGCCTTGTTGTGTTGCGAGGAGTTAATGGAGGCTGTGGAGGCTCTCCTTTAACAGATTACAGCAGCTCTGTGTCACGGGGAAAGAGAGGCAAGGTCTGCAGGCAATCCATCATGGGCCCTGTCTATATTCAGCCTTAGTCTGGCTAAGTCGTTTAATAAAGGTGCATGTCAGCTCCCCTCTGCTGCTCAACTGCATCCAATCCCTGCTGAAATCCACATTGGGGTTCTGGCTGGCGTACAAATCCACGCTGTTCAGTTCCACCTGCGGCCAACTTCATACACAATGGAGAGACTATCCAGGTTTGACTTGCTGCTCTTTCTTTCTTGCTGTCAGTTTTTTTTTTCTTCTGCTTGTAATTTTTCTCCTGAAGGATTAACGCCCCAGCTGTGAGGAAACATCCAGCAGTGTTTTCTGTGCATATGACAGGGCTCGCTGCTCGTTGGACAATTATATTGGCCCAACCTTATTGTGTGGCAAATCCTCTATCAGCTTGCATGCTCAGGGGAATCTCAAATTAATCCTGTCTGAAAGAATGAAAGCCCAATCTTGTGTTTCTCTCATGCCATTAATACCAGTACAGTATGTGCTTACTTCATTCAGATTAACTGCCTGAATCCTTCATCCTGCTTGCTTGTAGGTTTTGCAGTATCTAAAGGTCCCCAGTCATCTCCATCACAGGCCTATTTATAGTTGCTTTTGAGTAACAAAATGTGGGCTGTCTCCCTATTGAGTCACTGCACATGTAGCCATTTATTTTTTGCTGGAACAATACAACAAAACATCATATGAAACAATAGGGAGCGCATCGTTGTTTAGAAATCTGTATTGTTGCAAACCACAGTCCTGGTTTCTCTGACTAAATTAGCGCATGTAACTTATGCATGAATATTTGAGAAGCAAACATTGTCTACCAAAAAAAAGATTTCTCCCTCATGTTGTTCCGAACCTGATCTCGTATAATTTTTGGATGATGGAATTGTACGAAAACGTACAATTTTTGGAAAGAATAGGATGAAGGTCGACCGCTAACCCCACTCCTAAATGTAACCGTCACTGGGACGTAAGCAGATTGTACAGAAATGTACAAATGAGATTCGCCAAAACATAAAATAATGACAAATTGCCATGAGATTCTGCTTGTTTCAAATACCCTGTCCATTCTTTTCTACATAATGAAAGTTAAATTTGGCATCAAAATACACCCCGTCTATTGTATGTTATTGATCTTATTGTGAACAATTTGCATTATGTGAAATTATATATTTTTTAAACCTTCCGAAGCCATATAAAATCTTTGGTGAATAACAAGCCAACATTGTTGCTCACTGAAAATCTTGCAGTCCGCTATAGAACTCAAGATTGTAAGTGAATAATGGTTTCCGTTTTGGCTTTTTCATCAAAGATATGTGGTTTTGGAATATGATAATGTACCCTAAGGTACTTTAAACATATCGAAAAGAGTGACCAGAATTTTCTTCAAAAATTCCCCTTTTGTGTTCCACAGAATAAAGACAGTTATATGGGTTTGGAGCAACATGAAGGTCAGTAAATTATGACAGTATTTCAACAGTTTCATGACTGAGTTTATAACGGTTGTATTTATTTTTGTATGCATGTATTGATTTATTGATTTATTGTTAGTTCATATGAATCTCATTCATATGTTTTGCATGAGGGGTGTTGTTAGGGGCGCAGGTTCATGTATATTTTTTATTCATGTGTATCTTATTTTTAATTTATAAATTTTCCTGCAAAACACATCCTATGAATTTTTATGAAATTGCTACTTCACAAAATACATGTTTTGTTATGAGGTTGGGTTGAGTATTTTTATGTTTAGGTAATGTTACTTTAAAGTTATAATTTCCACTCTACTAGCATCACCAAATGTTATACAGTATATGGTGTTCCTTTGGACTTTCTATTAAAAGAATCTTGGAAAAAATATCCATCCATCCACAAAAATATTAATCAGCACAAATTAATAGAAGAAGATATGTTTCTTGAGCAGCAAATCTGTATGCTTGAATGATTTCTGAAGCAGGGGCCTAGATTATGCGGGGGACGCGGGGGACGTGCCCGCACTTTTTCGGGCAAGTGTGTTCGCATAGAGGTTTTCAAGAGCCCGTTTGAATAAATATAGATTTAAATTCAAAGAGACAGTATAGTCTGTGCATGATCTGATGTTTTATTCGGACCCAGAATAAGGCGAGATGAACATCACGGAGCGCTAAACACTCTGTGCAGTGTATGTTTCATTCATACTCGAAGCCGGAGGGCGCTTTCGCGCAGAAAGTCGTACGAGGAAATGGACAAAGGCAGCTATCGCTGTATGAAAACAGTTGTTTTCACAGAAAAACAGAAACGTTTGGAAACATGAAGACATTAAACATACGATTGCGACAATACACAATATATGGTTTATTTGTGTTTGTCAAGTCATCTCCAGGTAATAAATAAAGTATATGAACAATGCAGTGCTAATTGACATAGCATTTATTACAGTATAGAAACTATTCTGCCTTATGTGATAAAAAAGTTTTTGTAGTATAAAAACAAAAATTAAAGTTGCCTATACACTACCAGTCAAAAGTTTTTGAACAGTAAGATTTTTAATGTTTTTTAAAGAAGTCTCTTCTGTTCACTAAGCCTGCATTTATTTGATCCAAAGTACAGCAAAACAGGAAAATTTTGAAATATTTTTACTAGGCTATTTAAAATACATTTTAAAATGTAATTTATTGTGATTTCAAAGCTAAATATTTAGCATAATTACTCCAGTCACTCGATCCTTCAGAAATCATTCTGAAAAACATTTATTATTATTATGATGTTGAAAACAGCTGAGTATAATTTTTTCAGGTTTCTTTGATGAATAAATCAAATAAATGCAGGCTTGGTGAGCAGAAGAGACTTCTTTATAAAACATTAAAAATCTTACTGTTCAAAAACTGATGACTGGCAGGTTATAGATTACAGAAATGTTATATTGTAATGCTATATATATATATATAAACATTTCTGTCCCCCTCACTTCTGAAATGATGGCTACGCCCCTGGTTTATACAGTTTTAAATATGGATATTTTTCTTACACAAATGCTTCGATTCACTTCAGAAGGCTTTTATTAACCCCCCCGGAGCCGTGTGGAGTACTTTTTATGATGGATTTATGCACTTTATTTCGCTTCAAGATCTCGACCACCATTCACTGCCATTATGAAGCTTGGAAGAGCCAGGACATTTCTAATATAACTCCAATGTATTTCAAGACACCTAGGATGGCTTGAGGGTGAATAAATCATGGGGTAATTTAAATTTTTGGTTCAGCTATCCCTTTGATCTACTCTCCTTTCTGGTTTGTTTGTCGGACAAAATGGCAGATTCTGCATTATGATTGGTCAGATCACCTGCCAATCAAACTCCTGGTGAAGGGTCATTTGCCCTCTCTGTTTTGATTATGATCAATTTGTTAAAACAGGTTGCATATATTAGCTTCAATTAGCAAGAGCAGATTACATAGAAAGCTTTTTTTTTTTCACAGTAGCACCAAACTGGAGTGACTGAAGAGATTCAGTACATACCAATAACACGCTGTGTGACGATGACGGCTGCTACTTGTACTTGTGCTGGATCCTTTGGAACATAGTGCGGCACAGGTTTCTGTGTGACCCCATATTTGTCCTGACGAATCACCGCCTCATAGGCCATAGGAGGCGTCTGTGGGTCCACTGCCACAGAGTAGTATGGTGGGGGAGGGTCCTTCTACAAAAGCAAAAGTGAAAGTTTTCATAAATGATAATACACTTTTCTATCAGTTCTATTATGGTTGGTGTGGTTTCACAAGTTCATGGTAAAAGCATTATCATTTTAAAACACAAAAGGTGCCACACAACACGTTAGAATTAGAATCTGTTTGTGTACCTTGTCCTAAATAATTGAAATGCCTTGACTTTTCCTCCTCAACTGAAATTCTTTGAGTTCTACATTCTAGTCAAATGCCATTACAAATATGTCATTATACTTGTATTTCTGGTCTACTTTTTTAGTTGTTACCATAATCTTGAGAATGGTTTGAAAAATCTATTGGCATGCTTTAAAAAACAAAGTTGGCATGAAATGAAGTTGTGATTTTCATTTCTTCCCAAATTGTGACGTATAGCTGTGTGAAACATCTTCTCAAATGGATTTATGGATTGGAAATAGATCTATGGAAACAGAAATTGCACTGAACAAAAAAATAAGGTGCAAAAGCAATTTTCACTAGTAAAATTACAAGTAAATGTCAGTTAATTACAAAGCGGCAAGTGACATCCAAATACATGTAAAATAAAAAAAATAATTGAAATAATTAATTAAATAACAAAAATGACTAAATAAACATGTGAAATTTTGAAGGAGAAAGACTGAAAATGTATTTTCTTGTAAAACATACTCCTGTAATCTTTGTTCTTGTTGAACTTTGAAAAAATTATTTTTGCAGCGTATAATTTGATTCTTTGGTCACTACATTGAGGTGATTACTGAAACCTGATTACTGAGGCCATGTTCTTGCATTGACTGCTTACAACAAATCCATCTTTGAAACTTCACCTAAAATGTCATTTGTAATAGACATGCAGCTTGGAAACTTGCTTCATTTCCTCGTCTTGCTTATTTTCACCTCTTTGATTGTATCGGCCCAGACTATCCAATCTATTATCATCCATGATAAAACCAAACAGATGTGACCAGTTTTTTTTTTTTGTTTTTTTTTTGTGGAGGACACTATTTTCTGGGAAAGACTTTGTCTTGAGGAAAGGCTGGCAGATTGTCTCTGACAAAGTGTTGATGTTTTCATGCTGATCTGTAACCTACATAAACAGTTTGGTCACTAGGATAAAATTGATTGCTTCCTTGTGAACACAGAACACACATGAGTTGGGGATGGAGGAGGGTAATTAGCTATTGAGCAATGCGAAAACTGCTGATAATACTGAGGGACCTTATATATGAATGCTTAGATAGGTGTCGTATTCCCATAGGTAGATGGGGATCAGCTGAGAGTCAGCTGATGCGAGCTTGACTAACTGACCTGCCAGAACTAATGCTACGCTATATATATATATATATATATATGTATATGTGTGTGTGTGTGTGTGTGTGTGTGTGTATATATATATATAGTTCATTGTTATTGCATGTTAGCTCAGGTCCATTAAATAATATTAACAGATACAACTTTTGATTTTAATAAAATGATGATAAATATTGGATTCAAAATGAACTAAGATTAAGAAATGATTTAAACGTATTATTAATTGTTAGTTTATGTTAACTAATATTATAGTTAACTAATGTTAACAAATGGAACCTTATTGTAAAGTGTTACTATTATATAATATATAAATATATACATTCTTATTAAGACAATTGAAAATGGTATGCTGGATAATACATGCAGTTCATTAATAATTCAAATAATTTTTTGACCAGCAAATAGGCCTAAAAATGAAGGAGTTAACTGCATGAAAAATGGAGTTAATGCCACAAGTGAAACAATTTATGCATGTTAAAAAAAAGTCCCAGTTTACAAAACTAAAAGCCTTTTTTTGTATAATGGAGTGTCACCCATTGGTAATTTATTAAAGCATCAACTATCTAAAATCATGAGGTTAAGTACACTTAATTATTTAAATTGACAGGTGTCATTGCTATTTAATTGTTTCAACAAAGCAAAACCAAAAACATTTCCAAGGAACCAGCTCAAGTATCCCTTGAGTGCTTGAGACCACTTCAGTAAATGCAAGCCAGACTCATACAAATACATTTATATAAAAAGACCATTGAAATAGACCACACAGTACAGACATTTAACACCTGTCACACATGTATATATATATATATATATATATATATATATATA